GAAGTAGTAGTAGTAGTAGTAGAAGTAGTAGTAGTAGTAGTAGTAGTAGTAGTAGTAGTAGTAGTGGTAGTAGTAGTCGTAGTAGTAGTAGTAGTAGTAGTAGTAGTAGTAGTAGTAGTAGTATTGTAGTAGTAGTAGTAGTAGTAGTAGTAGTAGTAGTAGCAGTAGAAGTAGCAGTAGCAGTAGCAGTAGGAGTAGTAGTAGTCGTCGTCGTCGTAGTAGTAGTAGTAAGTAGGAGTAGGAGTAGGTGTAGGAGCACTTTGAACCGCAATAACAGGAAGAGCAACAATTATAGCATTCATATACTTATATATATATATATATACAGCAGTCATAAAACAAATGAACCTGCATTAATCGTTTGACGGGTTTGTACATGGTGCGTTATCTTCTCACATATCAGCTTGTTTTGCATGTTTGCGAAAGGACAACACGAAGCTTGAAGCTGCGAGCTTTCACGGGCTTCAGTATACAAGACAACCGTGCAAGGTTTATGGATATCGAATTTCGGCAATATTCATGGAATGTAAGGTGTTCTGCAACACCGCCATCGAGAATGCGAAGGCAGACAAGGACTTCCAGATGCTGCTACGCGACAAGACACCATGCCTTGGCAGGTACCTGGAGCATCCTGTTACAGAGGGCCAGTGTTCAGTTCAAGCCGACTGTGTCTGAAGTGCGCCAGGACATCGCTGTCATGAAACAGATGCAGAAGCACCGAACACAAGTGGACACTCGGCCAATTTCCGAATCCCAGTTCAGCCATGATTCCAGATTATTCATCCCGTGTCACTGCCTGGTCAAGATTCCATATTTTCCCTCTCTTCAAGTCTGCGCTTTCTGAAGCCTTCATCTTATATATGTCCACCACGCCACAGGAAGCTTACTCGCAGGAAAGCTCAGCTAGCCCATGAAGCCGTGAAAACCCGAAAATTAGTCGGATCAGGCGCAGAGAGGTGCACTTCTGAGCCTTTTGATAAGTATACACCCAAGATGCCGGCAAGGCATGCTTGGCAAATCGGACAGGCGCTCAAGGCACGTTAAACTTTTAAGAGGCCGGGTCTCCTGATGTCGTTTTTCCTTGTTTGTTCATGCAGAACTGGGTTTACGGGTTTAGGATGGTTCCGGGTCTATAGGGCTTCGGGTAATTACGCATCGAAAACCGAGTCACGGACGTCATGGGCTAGGTAACCTTTCGAGCTCGGGGCCATGCATTCTAAGGCGGGCACGGCCTTTCTGGAGGCAACAGGTTGCATAAAGCAAACGCTTCAGTGTGTTTTGCATTGCTTCTGCGAAGCAGTGAAAGCTCCACCCTAAACCTCTTTGTGTCCAGATCCTAGCCTGTAGCTTCAAACCCTCTTTGGCAGCAACCATACAACCAGGAAGATCTTATGACATCCCTAGAGGGTCCATATATACCACGACTATGGAATTCGATCCCTCAAACCATAAAGTCTAAACCCTAACCCGAAATCCCAAAACCATGAAGAGGATGGTCTTATGGGATAGGTGGAGCCTTCTGGGATCCTCCAGGAATCCCTTTTTTCAGCAATACCGCAACACCCCTGAAGCCTTGCACCCTCAACAAAGGTACCCAAAGTTTTAGGGTTTAGGGTTGAGGGTACTACGCTTATAAAGCTCGAGCCCCAAAGCCACGTCCCTACACCGTACCCTGTACTCCCACGGAATTTTGGAATCCCGCCGCACTAAACCCTAAACCCTAAACCCTAAACCCTAAACCCTAAACCCTAAACCCTAAACCCTAAACCCTAAACCCTAACACTAAGGAAGCCCTTCGCGCGGTTTTCAACGACATTGAAGTGAACCAGTCGAAGCTGATAAACCTGAGCGAACTGAAGGCCGGAGCCCTGAAGAATCTCAGGTCTGAGGTTATAGGGGTATAGGATTCATAAAAAAAAAAAAATATATATATATATATATGCATGCACATACACACAGACATACCGCAATACAGACGTACAGACATACAGATATACATGCAGACATACATGCATACATACATATGCATATACAAATAGGTTATATATATATATATATGCACATAATACGATGAATCGGTCAAGGGTCTGAGGCAAGTTTAAGGCTCTACGCGCACCGAGGCCTTTGGCTCACATCATCATACGAGAGTATATAACCTAGGGTTTAGGGAAAGTCTTGTTATGTAGCCCAGTAACCCAAAATTGGGGTAGCTGGAGTTTTATATGGTAAGACTTCGTAAGTGGAGTCGGACAGAGCTTGGGTTTAGGATAGGGAACTTTTGGGTTTGGGTCCAGGATGTAGCCAAGGCTTTCGGGATTTGGGTTTAGCGCTTGTGGATTGGGGATTGTGATCAAGTTGTACACACCTGAAGGCTTAATCGCTCAGCCCGAAACTCACCTAAAATGGAGCTTGTTGGACCTGGACCAATCCGTGTTTGAAGTGGGGTGTAAGGGGTATAGTACAGTTGTCCTTGTCACTTTCCAACCACAAAACAGTGAACCAGTTATGTGTTTTGAACTTTGCTGTTTTTGTCTCGGCTTGTCTGGACTGGATGAAGCAGATCAGCTGTCAGAGATTGCAAGCAGACGTCGTCGCGTAGGCTTATGGTTTTCTGGTTGACCCACACTGTGCAGAAGCGAGCTCGAATGTGCTATAGAGGTTTGAGTAACGAGTAACAACATTCCCTATATACAACTTACCCCAAACCTGAGTCCAATGATTGACGCCCCTTATGTTTGTGTGTTTAGGATTTACCTTTGCGCGTGGAGTTGAAGGGAGCCTTGTGTCGGCAGGTACAGAGTTTCGCTCTTTCGGACCGGAGCAAAACTACCATTAGAAAGGTTTGCGTAGATGTTCAGCAGAACCGAACCGGGACAAAAGCTTGCTGAGAAGGGCAGGGGCTCGCTCAGGATTATTATAATACGTAAGGAATAGATGAGCAAGAAAAATGGAAACACGAATATGGAGAAGAAAAAGGACAATGGCAATAATGGTCAGAACAGCAAGAACATTCAGATCAAAAACAAGAGCTGGAATAGGAATAACAATATAGCATCATCATCTGCAATCCACCTCCGTAGTAGTGATCATGCTACAAAACGATTTTAACTAATGAGTATGGTACGCAAAACAGTATACTGACAACAAGCATAATTGCAATCGCAACTAGCTTTATCACACTTGCAACCAGAACATCAGAAAGGAACAACGGGCGTGAATTTGTAGCGGAATTTACACGGGGTTCGCCCAAGGAAATGGAGAACTGGATCATGATGCACCCATTGATGATTGGGATTCTTAGGGTGATGCTGAAAGCATCCCGTATCCCCTAAACCCTAAGCCCTAAATCCCCGAAGCTCCAAACCCGAAACCCACAGGTAGCTATGCAAGAGTCCAAGTTGGGAAGCTTCATGGCCGCTGGGATTGATCTCTTGAGGGCCTTTTTGCTTGAGGGTTGAGGATTTTCGAAAGTTTGAGGCCTATGCCTCTAAACCCCTAAGCCCCTCAACCCTAAACCCTAAATTCTAAAGCCCTAACCCATATAAACCCTAATCCCTAGACCCAAAACCCTAACCCGGGTTTAGTCAATGGCTCTGCTTTTGGGGCTGAGTAGATGACCTTTAGCCTTTTGGGCCTTGTATAATCCTACTACTCAGGCTATACATTTCGGGGTTGAAGATTCAGGGTGATACAATCCTACTACAATGTACCAGGTTAACAACCCTAAACCCCTAAACCCCTATAAGCCCTAAACCCTAAACCTTAAACCCTAAACCCCTAAACCCCTATAAGCCCTAAGCCGCTACGGTACCCAGACCCTTTCGAGTTTGGGGGATCTTTCTTCGAGTGCTTCGGCGGTGTCCCAGTAGTACCCTTTTTGCCTTTCTTTAAATGTTCCCTCGAAAGGTTGCTGGGCTTAGGATTTAGAGCTCAGGGCTTGTAGGGAAAAACTTTAAACACTAAACCAGAACCCTGAGCCCTAAACCAAGACCCTGAACCCTAAACCCTAAACCCTAAACCCTAAACCCTAAACCCTAAACCCTAAACCCTAAACCCTAAACCCTGAACCCTAAAAGTGGGGCTATTGGGCAACCTAGGAGCTGGGAGATTGGGGTTAGGATTTAGGGTTCAGGGGGTTTAGGGTTTAGGGTTTAGGGTTTAGGGTTTAGGGTTTAGGGTTTAGGGTTTAGGGTTTAGGGTTTAAGGGGGGTTAGGGCTTTAGGGCTTTACCCTAAGGGTCCAAAGGACCCAATCATAAGGTGCTTGAGTTTAGGATGGTTATGTAGGTTAGTTGTTGGGAAAATACATGATTCTTGGGCACTTGGACCCTTAGGGTTAGGCTTTTGGGCTTCTACAGAGGATCTTAGGTCTAGGGTTTGCGGGTTGAGGGGTTTAGGGTTTTGGGGTGTCGGGTTTCAGGGTTTAAGGTTTCAGGGTTGAGGGATTTCGGAATTTCGGGCTCTCTGGGTTTGTTCGTCAAGGATTTGGGTCATGGATGAAACTTCTGAGGTCAGAGAGATTCCCTTAACGGTCCAAGTACCCAATAATCATATGCTCTCCCAAAAATCAACCTGAAAATGCTATCCTAAACCCTGGCACCTTCTTCTTGGATCCTTTGGACCCTTAGGGTTCAGGAATCGTAGAAAAAAGATCCGGTCTCTGCGCCTGCAAATTCGATTTGACTGCACAGTGTCTTGGAGTTATCGTCCTGGATTACAAATAGTACATACTTTGGCTTTAGAGTATCTACCCATAGGCCCCATAGTAGTTCCTTTTTGGGGTTCATATTTAGAATCCTATAAGGTAATCCCAAAAAGGAACTACTATGGGGCCTATGGGTAGTCCCAATTCAGGTACTTTAGGGCCAGTGTATATACTATGTGGGTACATGGGCCCTTAGGCTTAAGGGTTTAAGCCTCTAGGGTTTGTAGGGTTGTGGGTTTAAGATTAATGCTTGAATAAGGAGTGTTTAATCATGTCCCCCGATGGTCCATGTGAAGCATTGTACAGTTCATAGCTTGCCCCAAACCGTATTCACATTGTTGAGGCCTCTATATTGCGGTCTTCAAGGTTAGAATTTGGGGTTGTAGGGCGTCGGAATTTGAAGTCTGGCTGCTGGACGCCATCAGTTTTTGTCTTACTTAGTTCTTCCGCTTTTGAAAACAAGTGTTTTGGGTTTGGCACTTGAACAAGGGCTTAAGGATGTTAGCTTTTGTAGGGTAACTTGAACTGCTCTGTTTCGCTGCCAGGAATCCATGGACATTTCTACGAAGGATATTTGGACCCTGTTCATGCCGCCTGCCTGAAGCATGGACCCCGAGCTCTAAACTAGACCTCAAATCCTAAACCAAAAGCCATTGAGTATCCATCTCAAAACAGTGAAGCGCTTGGGGGAATCTGGGAAGGATGCTAATTTCATCACGTCACATGTCGGGGGCCGATACGCAGGCCTCACGTAGTCTGCGTCCTCATAGGCGTCCCTTCAGCTGGAAGTTCGGAGGTGTGAACGGATAAACCCTAAACTCTAAGCCCTAAGCCCTAAACCCCAAACCCCTAAACCCTAAACCCCTAAACCCCGAAGTGTTTGCGGCGGTTCCCATTTGAATTCACAGGCCTGGTGATCCGAACTCCGGAACATGTCCGCAGTCACCAATAGGAGCTGAATCATCAGGCTTGGGGCCTAGAGTTTCGGATGTAGCGGGGGTAAGGCTGAGGTTTCAGGGTTTAGGGTTTAGGATTTAGGGTTTAGCGTTTAGGATTTAGGATTTAGGTTTTAGGGTTTAGGATTTAGGATTTAGGTTTTAGGGTTTTTGGGGATTTGGTGCCTGTGTTGTGCGTGCGAGCATGTGGTAGCCACATGTTGCTGCTGTCTCGATACTGAGTCATCCTGTCGAACGCAGCATGCGCACGGGAAGCCAGTCACACCTTCCTCCAACATGCTAGAACCCCAAACCTCAACCCCTGAACCCCAAACCGTAGACCCCGAACCCACAGCCCTAAGCCCGTTAAGCCCTTTTTATCAAACCCCCCTCAACAACTCCTATACATAAATCCTTCGCGTACCGAAACTTTCATTTCTCTAGGGACTTGTGTAAGGTGGTTCGGTTTTGAGGTTTAGGGTTAGGGCTCAGGGTTTTCTGGGAGCTTGCCACTGGAGGTCATCTTAGGATCTAGCACCTCAGGAATTTGCACCTCAGCATTTTGCGGCCGCTTTGTTCGTATCATAGCCTTAATACTTGCTGGTCTTATTCTTGTTGTATTCATTAAGGATGGTGTAATCCACATCCCAAGCCTTGCGGAAGTACATGACATCAAGGTGGTTACGGGTTAATTGGACATTCAATGAACCGGTTGGCGGGATCCTGCCAGAGCGCGCAGGGGATGTCTAAGAGTGTACAGACGTCGGATCATGGAATCACATGCAAGGGCTCATGTTCACCCTGCCGCCCCTATCCTGGTTGCGGGGAGGGGGAGGGGGGAGGGGCGTTGTATATTTGGGGATGCCTTTTTTCCGGGGCACGGGGACATCCTTGAGAGGATGGGAAGATGGACTATATTTCCTCGAAGGTGTTTTGGCCTTCAGGGCTTTTGGGTTCTGTCGGTGGCGACAGCCAACATCCTGAAAACCAGCGTCCTACACTGTGTTGTTTACTTGCCAGGGTTAGTGTTGTGTGAAAAATGTGTGTGTTGACAGACGCGTTCGATATTGCCCCTTTGCCGTCTGTGGTGTTCGAGTCGAGACTGCCAGCACTCGAAGGAGTGTCCTGCGGCCCCCTCGCCTTGCCAGGTACCGACACCCTAGCTTCAGAGCTTAGTCCTAAACCTCAGCCCAAATCCAGCATCTGCACTTGAAAGCGACCAACTCAAGTGTAAGCCCTGACCCTAAACCCTAAACCCTAGACCCTAAACCCTAAATCCTAAACCCTAGACCCTAGACCCTAAACCCTGACCCTATAAATCCCAAAATGTAAGGCCTTGCCATGCCCCGAGACATTGAGGCTAATCGACGCTGACGAGAGCGGAGAGATTTCCATTGACGAGTTTGTGGCAGGCCACAACTTTCCCTAAGCCCTAAGCCTAAACCCTTAACAACTCTTATGTAACCCTAAACCCTAAACCCCTAAACCCTAAGGCTCTAGACCCTAAACCCTAAGCCCTAAAACTTAACCCCAACGGCCCGAATTACCCTTTGAATCTTCCTTCAGTATGCCCATGGGCCCCATAGTAGTTCCTTTTTGTGGCTTATATTTACTCAGGGGCTGAGTAGGTAACCTTTAACCTTTTGGGGCTTATATGATCCTACTATAATTCAAAAAGGTCGACCTTTTTTGGGCTAGGGTACTCAGCCCTAAGTTTAGGATTCTATCAGGGAATCTCAAAAAAGGAACTACTATGGCGCCTAAACCCTAAACCCTAAAGCCTAGGGGTGGTTTCCTGGCAAAAAAGTCCTTAGGAACGTGCAGGATCTTCGGGGTCCAGGTCGGCCCTTAAGCCGAGGATCCTTCCCCTTTCTCAGGGTTCCGTTTCTTAAAGACCCACGGTTTAGGGTTTAGGGTTTAGGGTTTACTTGTAAACGTTACCTGGACCCCAAAAGTGTGTAGACTAATAGCCCTTTTGGGGTTTGGGGCCATTATTGTACCTACTTTGGGTGGTTTAGGTACCTTTTTCTCCTGAACCCTAAACCCTAAACCCTGAACCCCCCTAAGACTTATAAACCCTTAAACCGGTAGGGTATTTCAGGGCCAGGGTGTCGATTCGCGCTGATGTTTGGAAGTACTTACAGGATCATGGGACTTTTCAGGTTTAGGGTTTAGGGTTTAGGGTTTAGGGTTTAGTAAGTAAGGTTATAACTACGGTAGCTATACTTATATACCCCCAAATTAGGGGACTTATAACCTTACTTACCCTAAA